AGAACGTTTGTTTTCCTTGCTGGAGTTTTTCTACCTTTCGTCTTGCTGTTTCTTTGGCGTTGGGATCTCCAAATTGTTTAAAGAGTGTCGCTTTGAACTCTTCATATGTGACCCATTCCCTCTGCTTCCTTCCATCTTGGAAGGGCATGATCCATTGTCCCGCGAGTCCTCTGAGTAGAGATTCCACATATGGAATCTTAATTTAATTATGGTGATCTCCATATCTCTTAATGGCAAAATATCCCTCGCATTGCGCTAAGAATATTCGTAGTTTATCTTCAGCTCCTTCGTATGTGTCGCGCTCCTTTGCTTTTGGTCTTTGGACATTTCCTTGCCCTGTATTTCGCGTGGCTGCAAGAAATGCCTGAAACTGATTTTCAGTCATTCCAAGTATGCTGGTTCCTGGTGCCGGAGCGGCTGGGGCCGGTGGCTGAGGTACTGCGGATCCCGACATTCTCTCGGGTCGTGGAGTTCCAGCAGGAGAGCTATCAACTGGTGATCCTTTCTCTGGTGTTACTGGGCTTGCTGCTCTCGAGGGTTCTACTGAGACGTGATCTAGGGTGTCGCTGAATCCTCCTAGATTAAGATTTTGATCGTCGATGTCAATATCTCCATCCCTGTCTGGGTTGAAGGATGCCGTCTTGTATCGTTTGGTGTCACATTAGGTGACGCTTTGCAATGTAACGATCCCTCTCTGGATAGTTAGTACTTGGCGAGGGGGAACGATACTTCTCTTTCTGTCTTCTTCTTCCTTTGTCTTACGATAGCTCCATGCCTCTGCCTACGTTACCGATAGTACCAGACCCTTTGTCTTCTATCGGAAACGCCTATCGTAAGCTTTCTCTAACTTGTCTTCGTGATGAGCACTTCTTGGCGTAATGATAACGTTGCAATAAAGATAAAAATCGTAAAGGTGTTTTATATTCATTAAAGTAATAAGTAGGAAAAGTACTTAGAACAAAGCGTGAAGAACCTATCTTCCTCGGCCGCATCGGCCTCCTTATATAGTGTTCTTCCCGCCTTTAGTTATGTGACCTAAAGTGGTCACATGTGCGAAACTAAATCATAACAAACTAATCATATGACCAAAGTGATCACATGCTCAAAACCTATGACCTCATAGCAAGGTCATATACAAAACTCATAAACCAATCATAACACAATAAACAAGTCATATAACTCGACTGAGTCATATGCGCGAAACCCATGACCTCATAATGAGGTCATGTGCAAAGCATAAATCATATGCGCAAGGCTTACCCGTAAGGCACACTCACAAGGCATACTTGTCAAGCGCATGTCCCATGACTCATACTTGAGCCATGTGCGAAAGCATCACAAATCCCACACATAACAAATCATATAACCCGAATAGGTCATATGTGCGAAACAATAACATACCTGTGACTCATAACTATGCGTCACGTAAAAACCCTTTCCTCGTTAAGCCATATTTGTAACCGGTACGGGTACTCAGTTATTGGTTTTGTTTTATGTTTTGTTTTAAGTATCGCTTTGATACTTGGTTTGTTTTAAGTATCGTTTGATACTTGGTTTTGTTTTATGTTTTGTTTTAAGTATTGCTTTGATACTTGGTTTGTTTTAAGTATCGTTTGATACTTGGTTTTGTTTTATGTTTTGTTTTAAGTATCGCTTTGATACTTGGTTTGTTTTAAGTATTGTTTGATACTTGGTTTTGTTTTATGTTTTGTTTTAAGTATTGCTTTGATACTTGGTTTTGTTTTATGTTTTGTTTTAAGTATCGCTTTGATACTTAAGGAGTTTTACCAAAGTGTATCGATTGATACCTTTGATTAGTTTCGTTCATGTTAAAACATGAACAGATTTGTGTATTTAAAGACTGCCTGTTTCTACGATAGAAAAGGCAGACTTCGACAGACAGTATTTCAATATACTTGGTTGAACGGTTACTTCTTTGTTCCCAGTACACCCTCGAAGCCTCCTTTAGTTCTCATCTCTCGCCTCCTCTCTGGAAGAGCAGGCCACCTGCCAACTATCGTATCTATTACCAATAACGTGATTAGCACCTTGCGAACACGTTACAATGTTCGTGACATCTACCCACATTGCCTTTCTTCTCCACATCTCCTTTGTCCAATGCCTATGAGCTAATGCCCATTCCAACCTCTCTTGAGCTAGATTCTCATCCAAACGAACTCTCTCTTATACCATCCACTTTCTAATATGTTTTCTTTCAAGTCTTCTCCTTACTGCCCTACTAGAAAAATTGTGAGCAACTTGCTTAGCAATGTCAGAATTGGTAGTACAGCAATTTTTAAAAGCTTTCTCCACCATAGCATCATTCTGTAACTTGGTAGTTTTAGGATGTCTTCTACCCTTATTCATCTTGCCCTCTCAATGTCCTGTTGCAATTGTGTCTCTGACAGTAGTGAAGGGGATATTAAGATAGTGGGAAATTTGCTAATATCTCATCTGAGGCTCGTGTAATCCGAGAATCCTCTTCCTGGTAAACTCAGAGAGATGTGTGGAGGGAATATGTTTTTTGACATGACTGTGAAGAATAGGAGGCATAGTTTATTGAAAAAAAGAATTGAAGAGAATAGTTTCTTCTTAGTTAACTTAGAGCGATTTTTTTAGGTACTGTTGCAAGTGCGGGGTGATGAAGAGGGGTGGGTTGCCGCCGATTATTAAATCACAGTTAATTTTGTCAACGAACAATAATACTACTAACATAATTACTGACTCAGCAAGGGGTGAATCAAGTGAGCAGGTTTTACCAAAATCAGAAAAGCATGGAAGACCATTAGGATCCAAGAATAAAAATAGTAGGAAAACATTGTAAATAATACCTTTTCACATATTTCTTTTAATAGATATATAGCTAATATACTCAATGAAAATTTAACCTAATTACTTTATTTTTAAACTTTTTTATCATGGTGGAGAAGTTGATTTACTAGGAAGGAAAATAAAAAGGCATTTATCTCAAGGATGGGTTTCTCTGGTTGCCACCCTTCCAACTCATTTTCCCAGCAACAACCAAAAATGCCCACATGTTGCTTCTAATAAAACCACACTCAAATGATGAAATTGCTCAAGCTCTCCTCCCCCGTCGGGACCAAAGGCTCAAGGCAACACCCCCCATCAGCACTGACGATTCAGTGCGAGAAATATCAAGATCAGCAAGACTATTTTTACAGGAAGCATTAACCTTTGTGCCGGACCTCGGTGATTCAGCATTCCAGATATTTTATACGCCCACGCATTCTACCCCCCCCCCCGGAGCCAAAATTCCTATTTGTGGTATTTTCCGTAATACAAGGTCAAACAGGTAGGCCGAGAAAGGGGCAGTGAATGGAATTTCACTCCTATCAAAAAGCGGTTTCTAGATCGCCAACCCAGAGAGATTAGATAATTGTTAGAGGGTAGACTTAAACTTGAGGATTTAGTGGCATATGAGGAGGATTATACACAGAAGGGCGCTGCTGGGAACGAGCCATGGTGGATCCCTGATATGTCTATCTACATTCCTATAGTTAATTGTGTGTTTAAAACATTAAGTTTGATCCTCCTCTCCTCCTTTCCGCATGGTGCCTAAGCCCTCACCCCCTCTAACACCTCGATATCTGTGGTACTTTCTATACAGGTCCAGCTATCAGCGTGTCGTGGGTTGAAGCAAGTTTATAATATTATAGAGAACAATTTGGTACTATTAATATTATTATTATTATGACGACAGCGGTGTAGAGCGTACGGAAACTTACTCCCGTCCACCCTAGTGTTAGAAATGGGAAATGGCCAGATCGGAAGTTGCACAAGGTTAAGAGCAAGTTGGTTTAAAGAATTGAAGAGTAGTCAGTCGTATTAGGAGATGGAATTTTGTCAATGGATCGATAAAGTGAAAAAAGTGGAAAGTGGAAAATATAAAAGAAACTCTTTGGTGCAATCAGCTAACGTGACCTGGCATGCACGTATGATCCTCGTGCGTATATCATATCTCCAACAACTAGCTTGCAAGAGGTCGAGTGATAGTCTATGTTCAAATATGGGGTCAGGGTTATATTACTTGTCGGCAAGACAAGGATACCGTAATAAATTATATTGGCAATCACAGGCCGCACCGGGACGGGCCGCGCGGTACTGTACAACTACGAGTACAAGCACACTACGCACAACGGAATCCCAGGGATCTATGGAAGAAAACCAAAAATCCCTCGGAGCCCAAGCCGGAATACAAAGCCGCACTAGCAGTACGGTACACAAGAGGGGGAAGACAGAAATTAAAAAAATTATTAAGCTAATCAGCTACTTCACTGGTCGGGTGCAGAATCTCCAGGGAAAAAAAAAGACCACAAGGGGGAAGGGGAAAAACTTGGATTCCCATCAATTGATATCCCGTATGATATCACTTATCTAAGAAAGCCAGAAGTCCCAATTTCCCTGCGCGGCATCCTCCGACAAAACTACCTTTCCACTCCACAGCCTAAGCCTGTTCCTCTCGTATTTGCTTTTTCTACACGCGGTCATGCTGCGACAGAAGAGTGGTAGTTGTGGGACCTATAGCAACAAAGCAACAGATCTGGGACTGGTGCGCACCACCACCCTCTCGCCTGCTCCTGGACTCCGCACACTTTGTGCACAATGGGCGGGATTTTTAGTCCGGGGTTTTGACGATAAATAGAAAAATCCACCGTGGCCTAGCAAGCAATTCTTTGGAAAGGATCTGTCACGATATTGGGAAATTTCTAGGTTGTTTTTCCACTTATTTCTTTGCACCGCATGGGGGGACCAACGCTGTTTTCACTGTTCAAGTGGCGGAATCGACACATGCGCTAGCTGCCCTATATAAGGCGTCTATTTTACCTAAAGAAATAATCGACTCCAGACAAACATCTCCCGATCGTATGATAACGGACTCTTCTCCTCGCAAAGGTCGTAATTGGGTAACCACGGCTGTAAATGAAATATTGGTTCTGAGACAGCCACTATATGGGGGAATTGTTGAGACATGCTGCGAGTACAGAACAATGCCACCAGAATTTATTAAATGCCCTCCAAGCGTATATGTCTACCGTATTGCCAAAGGCTCTTGAAGGAGTGTAAGAAGGTTATGTCAAGGCTGTAGCCAAACCGGAAAGAAAAGAAATCCCAAAAGAAAAATTGTCAATAAGAAAACGGAAGAAGAAAAAATAAAACATGATCGAACGAAATGCCAACTCTTTGGCCCACCACATGTCCCCCTAACCACTACCCCCTTCAATACAAGAGACCCTTATTCGTACTGAGGAATAATGACAAAACCTCCCGTTCTAATATTCCAAGCAACGTAATCATCATCCCCGACCGGCTGCACCTCGAACCCGTACTTAGTAGGAGTTGTCGGGCAATGGAACGTCAAACCATAATCCTCAATCACCCTCGGTGGGCCGGGGGCGGAAGCCTTAAAGGTGCCAATATGATTATTCGTGGAAGGCTTCGAATTCCATGTGCTATTATCAGTGGGATACCCGATGGTAGTAAACAACTGCATCCTGCGACTGCCTTTTGAGGTGTAGGGCTCGATAAAGCTGATTTTGCAATCTTTGCCCGGGGCGAAGCCGGAGAGATAGAACCCGAGAAGGGTCTTGACAGTATGTTGCCCGTTTCTACGAGAGACCTGGGCGCTGTTGGTTGGGAAGGGTGTGTTTGGGTCGTCTTCCTTGATCACGACAGCGATGTCCGGGAAGTAGATGGCACCCAGGAGGGTGGCTTGGTCCGCCACTGCCAAACCAGAGGCCAAGGTGGAGAGGGCTGAGATGATAGCGATGAGGGTATACTTCATGGTTGGTAGAAGTAAAGGTGTTTATTTTGTGTGGATATTTGAAAGCGGGGTGGAGGCTCGGTAGTAGTGGTAGTAGTGATAGCTGAACGCCTTCGATACCTGGAAGGATGGTGAAGAAAGGCTGATATTGGGGGATGCACCTGGGTATTTATCCCCTTTCCTTTCCTCCGTCAACTCCACACTTCCACTATCGAGTCATTTCTTCGATCTCAATTAAAACTGCACCACCCCCTCCCTCTACGAGATCCATTAGCGCAGCTTGCCTGAAATGCCTGCCAGCCATTGCGAAGGTGAGTGCGAGTGGGTACGACCGACCGCCTGTAAAAAAAAAGTGTGTATCCCCACCACGTACCGGAGTACTGCCCAGCCCAGTGTGATTCTGTACATGAAACCGCTTCAGTGTCCAAAAGCGATCGCCTAGTTGCCTAACTACTCGAGTACTACCGTGCGACTGCAGTTAGCCCTCCCTTTCGTCAGATGAGCAGATGCATGGATATCCGGATTCGACTGCACGAGCTCAGAAAAGCAAAGTATCATAAGGAACAGTACTCGTACAAGGACCAAACCGATACTGTACATGGTACAAACCAATCCTTCTCAGCCCCTCCACCCCGCATCTTCCGCACACCCCTCTTTCTCCATAAATCCAGTATATTTCACCTCTCAGGTTCTGGTACAATTGCTTGTGGCGCGTACCCCGCCCAGTACCGATACCTACCCTACGTATCTCCCTAATATATTATGATAAACCCCTCAGAAGGCAAACATCGCCCGATTAGGAAACTGATAACACATGGAAACAGATCTGGGTCTCACGGACAACAATTAGGTCTTTTAAAGACAAAGAGTGCCTTAGTCCTGAGGTATTGATATTACGGCAATTCGAGTCGAGGGATGTGGTTGCTACTCTTGCCATGGGTGCTAACAATAATTCCTTGCATGATACTTCCGGGGAAATAGAATAAAATGCCCTTTCTAGTAAGGCTTTCCCTCTTGTTTCCTTCATTTCCTATTCCGGGGGAAAATATTTACTTCGGGTTATCGCACAGGTTACTTGGCTCAACTTTCAGCACCTAAAGTTGCTCTATTGCGCGCAGCGGGAAGACTTCTAATTGAATGGTCGTTTGTTCATATTTCCACGCTCCCATCCCGCATACACAGATTCACAGCTATTGGTTACTGCACTTACTCACACCCGCCTCTTTCTGGCTCCTTGGCTTACCCACGTCCACTGGACTATATTGTACATTTACTTTAGCAGACCTTAGCATATCGGAGGTGTTTCCCTCCCTTCCCCCCTCCAAGCGCGAACCCATCATTGGCTCTAAATTTCCCAATATCAAGCTTACGGTATAGTAAATCAAGCCTTCGCTGACAGGCTTTTCGGGAACTTCCCTCCCTTCCTCAATTCACCAATCGATTCGATACGATACAACACGAATTCGGTGTGTCCGCGTCGGTAGCGACGCAAGATTATTGCTTTTTGCATACTCGGGCACAGGCGTTCCTTTTTCCGCTCTTTCTTTCTCTTTGGCTCGTTTACCGTACCGTCCCCAATCCTACAGGAACTGTGTGTGTGGTGGGCTGAATTCGGCATGGTCTCATAGGGCTGTAAAGGAATTCGATCCGGCTCGTCTATGTTATTAATAGCCGAGACGATATGGTGGGTGAGTTTGTGGTGGAGTTGCATGGGTGGGACATTGTTACACGGGGAATATCAGACCTGTTCGGGGGAAGCAACCAACCACAACAGCAGAAGCAGCTGAAATGTACAGTACGGTTATGGTGTTCTGGTGCTTTCGAGAGCACTTGGCGAATCATATCGGAGCATAGCATACAAGTACCTTCGGAGCTTAGAACGCCTGCATGATAGTGAGGGTACACACACGGGATTTCGACGAACCAGAGCCAACCTTTTGCCAGCACCCTAACTACTCGTACAACCCGCCCCCGCAATCCTGCACTTCGGATGAAGATCCCAACTTGTTTGCACCCCGACCGTTCCGAGCAACAAGAGTGTAACACTCCACTGGAATAAATGGGCCGCACGCAGCTCCAAGTTATTAGAAATACAGTGATACTATCATAAGATACGGCAGTTTTTTCTAAAGGCGATCAGGCAGCGTGAATGCGATGAGGGGAAGAAGAGAAAAAAGAGAAAAAACGGGATAGCGGTTTTTGGTGCATCTTGTGCTTATTTTTCAAGGCAAGAATGGTCGAAGATGATATGGTATCGTATAATATGTATTCGAGTGCATCGGGTATGCTTGACCCGTCAGTAGGGAGCGAGTTCTAAGAAGATCAAGAGCGATAAGCTGAATAGTGAAGGAAGTGACCTAAAGGAGGAGGAAGCAGGTGGATGCGATGAGGACTCTCGGCCTTTGATAATTTCCTACGATATTAGCCTGATTCAACTCCCTCGGCTAAACTATAATACAAGTCTGATCTACCCAATCTAACATACAGTGTACAGTATCATACCCAGCTAGATTATAATAATTGCTGGCCGAGTATTGTGGGCTGCCAAGATTAACCGCACACCTGAGCAGAACAGCGATAACCCTAAAACCACCAGCCAACACCACTCTCATAAATTCGAAACCCAAAGCGGCGCGTTCCTCACCTGCGACGACTTTGGCGGAGGTGAATTCCCACAGAAACAGATTTGCACCCGTAACGTTCTGACGCCTATAAGCACAGCTACTATTGCTTAAGGGCAAAAGGTCAGCCGGAGTATCAATATTCCGGTGGCATACGATAGTGGTAGTGTCCACAGGGGCTATAACATTACCAGTAAAGCCTGATAGCTTAGCAGGTCTTTGATCTCCACACGTGCTTGAGTATCCATCCGTTGTTCCGCCATTGCCATGTGAAAGGTTAATTCTCGCAACTCACAAGTGAGTCAGTTACCCCCAGGGTCCAACAGAGTACTTGTACCCGGCGGAGCCAAATCTCCCGGCGGACCCAGTTGAATAGAAAACCGGAACGCAACACCGTATCGCACAATAAACCGCTCGCCAACAATGTAATATTCCTCACTACTGAAAACCCACACACAATATTATAGCGAGTCTACTTGTCCGGCGACCTAGCACGGGAGCCCGAGATATAATATCTACATTGCCACAGTAAAACCTCACTAGAGTCCGACGGGGGTACCTTTCTGGGGGGAGTACAATTTATTACTAACTTGCCCCCCTACCTGTACAATCATACAGTGTTACTGTACATGCAACTAGTAGAGTTCGCAGGATAGAGGAGAGTGGAAGAGAGTGCAAGAGATACAATACCCTGTGTAACAGTTCTAGCGGCTATGCCCGGATGTAGCGGCAAGCTAACCCCTGTAGGAGCGACGATAGGAATACTATCATAATAATATTATCATATCGTACTTGATTAGGTGGGGTTGAGTTGATTAGCTGGATGGTTTTGGCGTCAATATTAACAGGTTAGGGTAGTGACCGGAGGCACTCGTACTTTCCCGACGTTCGTGAACAAAGTTGTTATTACGCATGGGCAATAATCCCTCGGGGTCTCAAGATTTTGGTGGTACGCAATAGACAGTTGTGTTCATAAACGTCAGGAAATTAAGGGTAGGATATGCGGGCAGGCGAATGAGTACGGCAAAGGACGGATAGGGATTAACTGTGGTGGGGTGGCTTCGATGTCGTGAGGATCAATCGTAAGGAAATAAGGCAGTCTCGAGATCGGAAGACACTACAGCCCACGGTATCACAGAGAATACGGGGGTAAGAAACACCAGCATCGGTTGGCTCGAGCCACCCAGGTCTCCAATTAAAACTCCGAAATCCCGTGTCTCATTTTACGATCTTCTTTACAAGAGGGTGTAGAGGTAAAAACAGACTCACGGTTATCCGGAGGTGCCGGGCAAGTTAATTCAGACCCCAATGCTCGGGGTCTACATTCCGGGCACATGCAATAAGGGAAGCATGGCACATCAACGGTGGAGCATACAAGCACTGACCACCCACCTTACTGTTAGCAAACACTCATGACCCCGACCAATGTCATAGCAGATATATCTCCCCAGTATGTATCACCCGAGAAAGTACGTATACCCGCTACGACTCAAATTCCTCACTAATTCTAGATGCTCGTGGTTGCAGTTCCACAGGATACTGCTGAGGTGAATTTCAAGTTAGCATGACCACCTGTCCACCGCTTATCCAGCACGATGAGTCCTCTGCCGGCACGTCGTGGGGCGTAGTTTTGGGCGGCACCCAGCGGTTGATTGGCTGTTTGGGGTACGGTAGTCGATGGGGAGAAGGTGGGAGTTCTTGATAGATTGTTAGCCTGGGAGGGGGGGGGGTATTGTGCAATTGGTGGTACTGCACACGCTGGGAAACAACCGCTTAAGCAGAAGGGCCTGCACGAAATGCTGCGGAGGTTATCTCGCACCCGGTTACCAGTCATGTTTGCCCTTTATCCTATGAAATTCTGCGATTTGTCTCCTGGAATCTCCCCTCCCATGCATGGTGGCCGGGTCTCGAAACCAACAGTACGAGGGATCCATTTGCTTACATGATACAGATAAAATAGCGAGGCTTGACCAAAATAACCTCCAAACGCCTGCACAGGGGTAACCCCAAGCCTCGACACCCCCACAAATATTGCTCTTGTTGAAAATTAGAGGGCAAAGAACTAGAGAGAAATGTCTTCTGAGCGTTTCTATCAAGCTTTACCTCCTTAAAGGTATATATATCCTGGCAGGGGCGTTTCCTCTCCCCATCATGGATCCTCCTGGGAAGCTGCACTCCGCACCTAGCAAATGCCAATTATGTGCTATGGGGATATCTTAGGTCACAAAGGTTTTCATAGCGAGTCATTGGGTCCTTCTGTTTTCAGTCTCGCTGATAGGAGAGACTATACTGTTTAAGCGCAATACAATACGAAATCACTCTTTTGCTACACAAACAGTTACTCAGGAGGCTGAGAACTCTGAACAGAATGTTTCCTTGCGGAGTTACAAGCTACACAGTTTCTCTAATCAAGTTTGCCTTCCTCATCGCACCATCGGTTCCCCCCGTACTCACTTTTTACCTTATTTAAACCCATTTGAAATATGATTGAGAGGTGAAGTATTTGTCCTTGGCTTGATCCTCCTTAGGAGAATTTAGTGTCCAGGATAGCTAACTGGAGTCGTTAATCAACCCTTGCCTCTAGGAGGAACAGCACTATGCAACACCGCACAAAACCATTGGGGCCCAAAGACATCTGGTGCTGGCACCCTAGAATCAACCTTGGCGACAGCCAATTTTCCTCAACCTTCCGAACGGCATAACATCGCATATTATTATTTTACTCGTTCATTCTACAAAATAATTCTAACCCATGCGAAGATCATTTTATAGAGCAGTTTCCGTCTCGGAGATGCGTCTCCCACCGTGATATCATAGCACTTAAAATCGAGGTATGTTTCCGGCGTTGGCACGTAAGACAATTAGGGCTGATTCTAAGGGGCCGGCACTCTCCTTCAGATCCACACCAGGCGCACCAGTGCATAATCGCTCTAACTAAAAGAATCCTATCAAACCCCTACTCAACACCAACTCACCATCACTCCTGCACCCCCACTCCTCCTCCTCCAACCCAAATCCGCCTACTTTCCCCCCTTACAAGTATCATTTGCGCGTTGGATTCCACAAAAAAAGCAAATAAAGCAAGCCAACCCAATCCCCTCGTCCCTGATTGCAACTCTTGAAGAAAAAAGTGCAAACATTTAGCACTCCCGCAATAATGCGCACACAACACTCACAATTATGCTTGTGTGTACTGGTACTCGAGCACAAGTACGGTATACGGTAAAAAATTAAGAAATGTGACTTGAGGAGTGTCGCGGGTGGGCAATATATAAATACTAATTGACGGGGGATGCGACCGACACACCAGACGAGTGGTATTGTGGAGTACAGTACCGGTACTAGGTGGTTGCATTGTAAGTCACTTTGCTGCACTGTGCATCACACTTGGATGGTATCGATTGGACCGATGGACTTCAGCCCATCCAGCTCACCCTCCGCCCGAAGAACACAAATCCCAACTCAATTCCACAGGCACACCGAATCCGACTTGCACGTCTCGCGTGTATCCTACAAGCAATGTTGCAAGGAAGGGGGGGTTGGATCAAAAAACGATGAAGGACTGGAACGCGCTTTTTCGAATCGGGGGGTTATAAGATAGAACCCCTTCTTACAAAACAATAAACGATGACATTCGAAGAAAGTTGAAGGCAAAGAAACAAATAAATTATGACAAAAGAAGCAGAAAATTCCTAAACATCCCACAAATATCCTTTGGTAGATTCTTGGATACCGTAATTTACTCCTCTTTCCATGCTTCTGAGCAACTAATATTTCCTGCTATTTTTGCTTACTAAGATATTATAGAACCCCCCCCAATTTTCAGAATCCCCGATTCAACCCCCCTCTAACCCCCCGAGTTCGATCACTGAAGGCCTTTGAAAAATTGCCTACAAGGCCACCACTAGGATCCGGCCCCATAAATTCAGCTGGGGACATTGAATTTTGTTTTCATTGACCAGCGTTCGTTGCTTTGCCCCACACAACACTAGCTGCTTCAGCACTTAATCACTTGCTTATTGAGCACTGCGCTCGTAAGAATACCACCAAAGTGCACAACTTATATCACATTGGGCACACATTAGCCCGATCAATACATCAATTGCCCCCAAGAGCCTCGCCTTCAATCTTCTCCGCAAGGCGTGGCTTGAACTTGAATGCGCCGTGGCATTTTAAATGAGCCCCCCCCCCTTCAAGCTCTCTTCCTCTTCTTGAGTAGCTTACCTGCCCGATTTTGTAAGAGACATTTTGACGGGATGTGTAGATTGATCTCACTAGCCCCGCTCTTGCATTATTCCGGATTCTATGGCAATTCTCCTACGCCCGTGATCATCGTAGTCACGAATGTTCAAGACCTGAGTAGGCAATTCTAGAGCTCTCGGTGACCCAAATCATATCCTGGGAGTGGATTGGAGTCCCTCCGTAAAGAAAGTGCACCACCAACATCCAGCCCTAAAGAGGCCTTGCAGGTTATTATGCAGTCAAGGCCACTTTAAGCTTGGCCCCGGCGGGCCCACCGTGACCCAAAATCGTATCATAAGATGCAAGTATCTATTCGTAATGTGGTGACGTTTGTAAAACGCACCTCTATTGCATACACCCAAGTACAACCAGAGCCCCAAAACCCCAGCGAAACGCACGAAAAAGCAGTCCTTCTTACGGACTTCACCACACCACGAAAATCTACTCATCATGTAGGAATTCACTTTACGGTTAGTACCGTCTCGCAGGGCAGGGCGGTTTGTTTTATATAGCTGCACGCCTGTCACAGCACTGTGCACCAAGTGGCCGGAAAAGTGCGCCGCAGAAAGCTCGCTGTCCCTACGAGCTTCACTTTGCTTGGCCCAGTTGATAACTTCCGGGTACTTGCAGTGTGGGGGCGTTGGTAAAAGCGCACTGCTATCCCATACGGTGAAAATTTGCCATAACCTCAGAATTTTGGTGGTATGCAATAGTAGTCCGTTTTGGAAGCGTCATCCCATTGCAAGTACTGTACTCGAGAAATAGGCAGCCTTCTTCTGTGCTACCCAACGTTCGGTCATACCACTGGCGGCCAGGCAAGCACACTTGTCGCCGTTCACGCATAATCATGGACACTGCCGTTGAGAATCTAGATACTTGAGAGAGTTACCAACCCCCAGCGTTCGAGGGCGGTAACTGCGAAGGATTTTCTCCCGGATAGATAGATATTGTAAAGCAAGAAATCATCTAACTTTTTTCGCCCCAATAGAATTCAATTTCATCTACACTTCCCGTTAGCTCTCACTCCCACGGCTTAAGACGGGGGCCTAATTTGATTACCATATCTTTCTACAGACCACCCCTATCCACCTCCATAGACTTGGGGTTTGGATGCGTAGGAAGCCGTAGAGCCAATGCCGTCCTCCCAAAGTACGCAGGCCCTGAGAGACAAGGGGGTTGCCAAACCAAGATCTGCAGCACTATTTCCCTCCCCCCCGAAATAGCACGGAGATGAACGTCCGTACATCCCGCTAACCCACAACCCGAACCCCATGGACGAGAGCATCGTGAAAAACTCAGCAGTACTCTATCCAGTCGGGAATGCCTGTGATGGTAGCTTTTCAGCTACTCGCAACACGAGGACGAAGATTGTCAAGGAGCACTGATAGCATAAATAGGGAACCGCATAGCGCCATTCGGTACCTCTCCGCGAAGACTGGGCCCGTGAACTGAAAGATATGAGAGCTGCCGGCGCTATTGAATTTGCACCTAATCCTTCAGACAACGTGCGGACAATGATCTAGAAAATACATCACGTACGGGCAATTATGTGAGTACCATTATTGTAAAGTCATGACCTAACAGCAGGAAGGAAAAATAGACCTTCCTGATAGCACAAGCTCTCTACGCAACCTTAACACACAGCCCATTTTCCACTCGACAGCGTGCAAACCATCACCCAGCGCTACAGGGATGTTCCTGAAATGAGGCACTCTTTGGGTCAATCTTTTAGGATAAAACTAGATATAGGTAATGTATCTTCTCTAGGCTTGCATGTGGGAGTGAACGGGCCTAAACACGCTCGAAATACGTAAGCCTACACAGGGCTCCATAGAGCTAGCAAGACATCCCATCGCATTCCACAATCATAAGTTAACTTCATATACAGTAATGTAATCCACCCCCCCCCCCCCCGGGAGAAGGAGAAAGAGAAAAGGCCAAGCCCTTTCAAGGCCGGGAGAAATGGAAAAAGGGAGGAAAAAATGGGGTTTAAAAAACGGGCCGAAAGAAAGATAAAAAGATACCCCTTGAAGGGGTGGGTAGAGAAAAATTAAAAGAGAGGAGAAAAAAAAAAAAAAAAAGGGGAAAAATTTTAAAAACTTGTTACCAAAAAGGTTATATTTTAAAAAAAAATTTAAAGGGCAATTTTAAAAAAAAATTCCAAACCCCGGCTTTTTCCTTACCACCACCACTTCCCGGCCAAAAAAAATTCCAAAAATTCCCCCCGCCCAAATTAAAGCCCATTTTAATTTTCGTAAAAACCGCATTGAAACCCGGGCCCGTTAAGGGGTTGATTGGGGAAGCCCAACACTTCTAACCGCTTAAAAAAAAATTGGGATTTTGGGAATTCGCTTCCTTGTAACCCTTAATCCCCCTGGGCAT